GCAGATGTAATAATGGCTGGGGGAGGCCAAGAGCCCCAGAACGCGTGTCCAGCCAGGCACGGCCACCTGCAGGGTCCCTTCCCCGGGTGGGGTGGCCTGTCCCCCTGTCCGTGCGTTCCGCGGCTCCGCAGGCAGCACAGCCCTGTCCCTGTGCCCGGCGGTGCCGGTGCCGCTGCCCCGGGCGGGCACGGGGCTGGCAGCACAGCCGGAGCCTCAGAGCCCCGGGCCCCCCGACCCCGGCCTGCTGGCCCCGGTGTCCCTCTGTCCCTCTGTCCCGCTGTCCCTCTGTCCCGCTGTCCCCCGGCACCTCCCGGGCAGTGGCTCCACCGTGTGGCCATCCCGCAGCGCCCGCGGGGGACCCGGGAGAGACCCGGGAGAGACCCGGGAGAGGGACACCCCGGGGAGAGGGACACCCCGGGGAGAGGGACAGACCGGGGAGAGGGACACCCCAGGCTCAGAGACCCCCGGCCCACAGCAGCGTCCAGCCCCACACGCCATCCCACAGAATGCCAAAGGCTGGGAAATGGGGACAGGTATCCCAACACTTCTCCTAAAATCGTCATTGAGCTCCTGTAATGAATTTCTTTCCAGAATGATTTGTGTATTCCAAGGAGTTTTCTCCTCCGTCACACTGACTGGACCTAAAGCTACCACAGGGCTGACTTTGCCTGTAACCCACCCATGGTTCCAAATGATTTTTCCCACCCCACTGCTGTCTTTGAGTGTTTCCAGAAATCCTCAGCACCTCAGCCCGGGGGTCCCGGGGGTTCCAGGTCCATCCCTCGCATTGCTGCAACCAGAACCAGCCGTTCCCCACTTGCAAAACCCCAGCAAATAAAACAACCCCAGGAATTCCTGTGCCCTCAGCCATCATCCAGCAGATGCACGGACAGTTTTCCACTAACACCAGGCAGAATGGGTCGCGTTGGCCATTATTCCCAATCCAGGGAGTTCTGACCCCACGTACCTTCGCTGGCTGAAGTGTGCCACGTTTCCAGGAGCAGCAGGTACCAGCAGCATTTCTCAAAGTTGTTGCAGGGGAATCACCAGGCTGCACAGAGTTCTGCAGCACACAGACATCACTGCAGCTCACACGGAGCACTTCGTATAAAATCAAAAGATTTCAAAGCAATGAAGGGCTGCGTTTACATGTAGATCAAATGTAGCCCACATAAATCAAAACTACAGCCTCAAAGACTTGCAAAAATAATAATGTTTAAATTCATAAATATTCCAATTCTTTCCTTTTTAACTGCAGGGAAATAAGGCAAAGATATTGCAAATTCAGCTAAAGCTTTCCAGATTCCTCCACTTGTTTTCTGCTTTGGAAGGGTGGTGGCTGTGAATAAATGTAAATTAAAAACCCACTGCACAGATTAGTCACTGTGATAAAGATTGATAAATACAAAACCCTTTCACATAGGGACGTGCATATTTCAAATACAGGTCAATCCATCACACCTGAACAAAGTGTTTTGTTCCCAGGTCACAGACTCACTCTAAAACGACCCTGCAATCAATTAAAGGCCACCCAAAAAAACCCAAACCCCACAGTGGTGCTTTCCACTGTCCAAGGGACCTCTGTGCTCCATCCCCATGGACCACAAGTTGCAGCTGATACACAAAACCCCCAGCTGAGGCCACACGTGGGATTTCTGTGGGCCAGGAGGTGTTTTGGCACTGACATGGCCTTGAAGAACCCCAAGAGCTTTGGCTCTGGTGTCTCTGAGAGCCTGTCTGGTCGCACCTTCCCACCCTGATTTGCAGCACAGCAACATTCCAAGGCTCCACCTGCAGCGTCACAACAGAGAGAACCAGGGCAGGAGCCCTCCAGTCAGCTTTAACCAAGGCATTTATTAGTAACTCTGGGAATCACCTCTTCGATGCCACTGCGTTCTGGGTTAGAGCCCTGCACCACCTACAAACAGGGATGATTTAACCTCCAGTAAAATTACTGAACCCCCCAGCTCTGCTCTCCTGCTGCTGCCAGCCCCACTGCCCCTCTCCTGCTTTGGCTCAAACCCTTCACCACCAAGAGCACCAACTCTGCTTCTCCTTGCACCTCGAACTGCCCAGCACTCAACAAAGTCAGCAAGAGGCGGCCCCGAGTTCTCTTTTCCAAGTTTGCTCCAAGCTTTCCCACGCCTTTCAGAGCACATCCATCGGTTCGCCATGGTGTGGCAGCCAACAACAGTGAGTGAATGAGGCTGCCCGAGCCTGCCAGAGCAGCTCTGGAGTGCTGCAGCAGGGCATGAGAAGAAATGGTTGCTTTTTTGCTCTTGAGGTTTTTTTTTCTTCAGAGAAATGCTTAAATGGCTTTTTGTGTGCTCCTGTTCTAAGGCAAAACAAGAACAGCTGTAGAAAGTTAACAAAAAACATGAGAAACAGACTCTAGATTAAACATCTTTACCTGTATTTACTGTTCAAAGTCCTGGCAGCTGCAGAGATATTTGGGTTTTCCCTTTGTAAAAGGATATCATACACAGCACAGTTTGGGTTTTGGTACAGGGCACACCACCACTCCAGGGGTCTGCTTCTATTACTGAGCCATTAAACACCAGAACAATAATAGGTGCTCAGCTAAACCAAATCCACATTTTTAGAGATTCCTGTATTCCATCCACCATTCTCACCAGAGACACTTCAGCTGACCCCGCTGAGATCATTACAGGAGCCTGGTGAGTTCAGCAAGTCCAGTGTCATCTTTCCAGGCTTTCAGCAAACAGGAAAAACTTGTTATTTTTCAGCAGCAGTGCAACACGTCATCTTCCACTCCTACCCTGACCCATAAAGCAATCCAGTCTGTGAAGATCTGACAGTTTTTGCTGGAAGGGCAGCAGCAGAGCTGAGTGCCCAGCTGCAGGGTGGCAGCAGCAGCAGCCAGGCTGCACAGGGCAGGTCATGGTGGCACTGCAGGGGCACGGTGCCACACTGCAGGGGCTCTGCCCATCAGGGCTGGGCCATGGCCAGAGCCACATCTGTGCTGCTGAGCTGGTGACAGGAGCAGGGCGGCGCTGGGCTCAGCCTGTGCCCCCCGCCCCGTGCCACCAGCCCAGGGGCTGCAGGGAGGGATGGGGCTCTGGGTGCAGCAGAAATGACACCAGCAGCACGGGACAAGTTGCCCTTTGCCTCGGCAGTCAGCTCACCTGGATGCTGTAGGAAAAGTCAAACTTTTGCCGTGTGAAATAAGAACATTTATTGGGTAAATCAAGCCAGTGTATTACCAAAAATGAAAGGAGTGCATTGGAGGCTGGGGAAGCAAATCCCTGCTCTGTTTGGTCCACAGTCCCCAGGAATCCGTGGGATAGGACTGAGCAAGGGCAGAGCTCAGCTCCTGGCTGCAGGCATCGCCCCTGTGACATGTGTACATGATGGGAACAGCTGACACAGCCAGGAGGAGTGACAGTGGTTGAGAAACATTATAATTACCAAAGAACAATAAATATTGATATTATAAGTGCATATTTGTGTCTAGTTTTAGTGTAAACACTATCAGGCAATTTTGCCTGGTTACTTTTTTCTTATCTGAAGCCAGCAAACTCTCCAGCAAGCCCAACAAACTGAGATCAAACAGTTCGTATTTAAGGGAAGGGATCTGCCTGACAGCAATTTCTGATTTGGGAAGTCTCACCTGCCCTCAGTGATACCCCAAGGACAACATTTTTTGACATTGCAGATACTGATATAATGAGTGAAGCCAATCAAGTATCTCCTGTAGATTGCTGTACTTTTAAAAAAAGAAACCCTCAGTTCCCACAGCACAATTTCAGCAGAAGACGTGGAAGTGTAGGAGCTAGAGCAGTATTATTTTGAATAATTTCAGTATTGCAGAGAAACCTTGTAACCTACCACAGGAAAAGAGGAACTTGGCCATAAATTACCCTGCCTGGGCTTGCAGCCTCAGCGTGAAGCACATGTGAGCAGCCTCTAGCTCGTCAGGGTCTCAGGGGCAATACGGGAGTTAAGGCTGCACTGACACCACTCCTGAATATAAAAAGTAATAAATTAATGCTTTAGAGAAAAAATACCATTTCCCCTGTTTGCCTCAGGCTCTCACAGCACAGCCCCTGTGCTTTGTGCGAGGATCCCCATCGTTGCTTCATCTCACTAATTAGAGTTTACCTGCTGCAGATTACAACACGGGATTAGTGTTAAGCAAGAGCTGTCCTGCTCGCCCTCAGCCTGGTCCCGAGAAGTGCTGAGCAGCATCCAGGGGAGTGTTAATTCAGCCCTGCCTTGTAGGGAGGCTAAAGCTTAATAACTTCTATTCAGAATAATAAATTCACATACTTTTTTTTATACCTCCAGGTTTGGGAAGGGTTTTCAATTTCCCCATAAATCAGACCCCAAAGGAATCCCTGTGTCACTGAGGCAGGCAGGTTGTCAGATCAGCAAAACTGGGGAAATGCTTGTGACCCTGCAGGGCACAGAGAGAGAGCTGCAACAGCAGTGCCACTGCTGGTGTTCAGCAAGTTAAACCCAGAGAGGACTGCTGGGACCAACGGAGCACAGAGCTGGGAATCCACTGGCACCAGAACCCCCGTGCACCTGCACTGGAACCGGCTGGCACCAGTGGTGACTGTGCACCTGCACTGGTACAGACTGGCCCAGTACTGACTGCGGCTGCACTGCTACTGACTGCACAGCTGTGCTGACATCACTGCACACCTGCACTGGTACCACCTGCACTGATACTGCCTGCACTGGTATCACCTGCACTCCTGCACTGGTACCACCTACACTGGTATCACCTGCACTTGTACTGCCTGCACTGATACCGCCTGCACTCCTGCACTGGTATCACCTGCACTGGTACCGCTTACACTGGTATCACCTGCACTCCTGCACTGCTGTCACCTGCACTTGTACCGCCTGCACAGGTACAGACTGGTCCCAGTACTGACTGCACCTGCACTGGTACCACCTGCACACCTGCATTGATATCACCTGCACTGCTGTCACCTGCACGCCTGCACTGCTGTCACCTGCACGCCTGCCAGGGCTGCCTGCCCCTCTCCTGCTGGAGCTCCCCGTGGTCAGCACCAGCACCAGGGGAGGAAGGGCAGTGCCAGCAGCACGGGCTCCGTCCCGGCCGAGTCCCAGCTGCAGGAACACCTGCACGGGTGCTTTGGCTCCGAGCACTCCTCGGCTCAGGGGTACCCCGGGGGTGCCGTGCCCTGGGGTGGGGGGCACGCTGACCCTGCCAGCCCGGCCCAGCCCAGCCCAGCCCGGCCCCAGGGCAGCCCGGAGCGCTCGGGGAGCGGAGCAGCAGCTCCCCGCTGGCGGTGGGACGTGCCCAGAGTGCCTCTGCCGTGTGTCCCCGGTGTCCCCGGTGTCCCCGGTGTCCCCGGTCCCCGCGGGGCGGCTCAGGCCGCGCACACCCGGCACGGCTGCAGCCCGCTCTCGTCGCACGCCGGGCAGCGCAGCGCCCGGTAGGACTCCCGGAATCGGTTCGCCAGCATCGAGAACTTGCTGCCGTGGCACAGCGAGCAGGGAGCGCAGCCCGAGCCTTTGCACTGGGAGCAGCCGTGCTCAGCATCGCCCTCCTGAAGCTGACAGCAGAAAAAATGTGTTAGTGGGTGTGAGGTACCGAAGTCGGGAACATTCCTGAGAGAGGGAAAGTTCCTGTCCCAGTCTTTGCCATCACGTTGCTCCTGACACACCACTCTGCCCATGACAATCGGTTCTCCACAGCAAGGACTTGGACAAAAAGGCTCCCAAAGGCTTGGGGACAATTTGTGGCTACTGCTAGAAAATGAGAAGTTAATGTGACTGGGCTTATAACACAAAACTCCAAACTCATCCTTCCCCTCTGCACAGCTCCACCCATCCTCCTGTCATTTCTTATCACCCCATTCCCACTCTGTAGCCTCAGGTTTGGGCCACACTTCATCTCTTCAGGGGTTGCTCGTCACCCTCTCTGCCCAAATCCCTCATCACCACCATGGACACTTTCTTTTGAGCTGTCCTTTGTGCCTGCCTCTCTCCACTGTGCCAGGCAGCCTCTTTCAAATCCCACCCTGAAATTCCCGGGAGCAGAAGGACTGCTGTGACCCACGCTCAGTTCCATGAAACTCTATCAGCTCCACGTGGCAGCACTAGGTTTTGTGGGATCAAATCATGGTCAGACTAATTGGGATTCTGGCCAACAAAGACTCCCCCGTGAGAAAGCAAATGTAAGGCACAACCTTATTTCAGCTGATACTAAAATTTTAGCCTGAAGCAGTCTCAGCCACAGAGCAGCTGTGTTTAGCCTCGTCAGGCTGGAGAAACTCTGGCTGCCCTTATCCCACTGGGAGGGGTGACAAGGGATGGAGCCCAGCCAAGCTCTGTAAGTGCCAGCCGTCTCCAGGGGAGGAATCGGTGGGAGATGTGAGCAGCACCGCTGCCCCCAGAGCAGGATCCCAGCAGTGCTGGTCGCTGTCTCCTGAGGGAAACGAGGAATGGTGCTTTTACCCAAACTTAGCCAGCAGCCAGATACAGAGGTGGATGGGGCCTGGGTGGTTTGACGAGGGCTAAGGGGAAAAAGCACTTTCTATTTTCTCTTACCTGCACATGCTGGTTGCAAGTGACCTCATTCTCCACATCTCTTTTATATCCACCACTAAGTCGTTCTTTCTTCTCCCGGTACACGAACGTCCAGTCATTTATTCCCTCAGTCTGGATGATTCTTCTCATGAGCTCTTTCTGGTCCATCGGTGCACGCACGATTTTCAGGTTATTGGTGTAGATGATGATCTTGCCAAAATCTACAACTGGGGAAGTCTGAAGAAGGAAGTTGCCAGTGTCTCACCAGTATGAATTCACTCTGCAAGCACTGATGGTCCCTGAGCTTCCAGAAGAGTGTCCCCTCCACCAGGCCAGCTCCCCTGACCACCCCCAGAGCATCCAGAAAATTGGTGGAGGCACAGCCCTTCTGGGTAAATTTGTATTTTTTTTTCTAACCCTTTTAAAGCTAAACTTGGCCAAACATGTCCCTGAGGGCAGCACTTGGCTGACCTGGTCCCTCCCCCTGGTGTCATATGGAGTTACTGGGGCCTATTGCTTTACACACTCGTCATATTTCACTCCGAGTGTCTGTGTCAAGAGGCCATGGTCAAGAGGCCCTGCAAAAGGAGACACTCTCCTGAGAGATGCCTCAGTCACATCAGCTGCTGTGGTGGCTGGTGCTCTCCTGGCAGTGGGGCTCCTGCTTCCCTGTGGGGGGAACACGAGGGGAGGCAGGTGAGCACAAGTGCTGCCCACCTGCAGCAGGTGAGAGCCTGTGTGCTGCACAGACACGGCGTCTCCAAGCACCAAGGGCAGCACAAGCTGGTACTGGACAGTGTGGTTACCCCAGGTATCTGTGGCTGGGGACACTGGGGAGGGCGAGGAGCCTTACCCAGGAATGCAAAACAAATTAACGGGCTGGATAAGATCACAGCAGTGCACTGTCCTTGGGCAGGGGAGATTCATTGTGGTCTGATGTTTTCAGGCAAACTGCATGTCCAGTGTGTCAGCAGGTCAAGTATCAGCCAGATGGGTTTCCCACACACAGCTTTGATGAGCACCAGGAATTAACAGACTTTCAGTGTGCTCAAATCAAGGCCATAAAGTTTATTTACACATATTGTGCATTACTGCCTCTTTATAAGGACTAAAGAAGCACTTCTCTATCAGTGGCATTAATTATATGTTAAGAAAATAGCCAGTGAAACTAAGCTGGGGTTGTCAAAGTAGCCAAAGCGGAATTCTGGCTGCCAGAGGATGCAGACACCTGGTACCCTGATGGCAGCACTGGCTTCCTGCCAGCCAAAGTCACACAACTTTAGTATTTTAAATATATCTCATTAACTTGACATCCTCCTTACATTTGACTGATCTAGATGCAGTGGGATTCCCATGTACAGATATCAATATGTATGGAAATGTTTTCTTTTACTCTACCCAATGGACAGATGCAGACCAGGACCAGGAGGAGCCAGAGCACAGCTGGAGCACAGCTGGCAGACGCTGTTCCCTCCTGCAGACCCTGAGGACCCTGCCACGTGTGGCATTTTCAGCACACGAGATTCCCGGAGCAATGGCTGGAGATTCACAACCCCCCTCCTCAAGCCTGGCCTGACAGAACAGTTTTATGTGGATGAGGCTGCAGTGTGAGGCTCCTGTCACCACGTCCCACGAGCAGGATGTGGCTGGAGCTGTGCCCAGAGGGGGGACGGCCAGGGGCAGAACTTACCCTGCAGAGCAGGATTTAGCCCTGAGGTGTGCCCAGAGGGGGGAGAGACAGGGGTAAGGGCAGCACTTACCCTGCAGAGCAGGATTTAGCTCGGAGCTGTGCCCAGAGGGGACAGCCAAGGGTAAGGGCATCATTTACCCTGCAGAGCAGGATTTGACCCAGAGCTGTGCCAAGAGGAGGAAGGGCATCACCCTGCAGATCAGAATTTAGCCCAGAGCTGTGCCCAAAGGGGCACGGCCAAGGGTAGGGGCATCACTTACCCTGCAGAGCAGGATTTGTCCCAGAGCTGTGCCCAAAGGGGCACGGCCAAGGGAAAGGGCAGCACTTAGCCTGCGGAGCAGGATTTGTCCCAGAGCTGTGCCCAGGGAGGTGAGGGCAGGGGAAAGGGCAGCAGTTACCCTGCAGAGCAGGATTTGTCCCAGAGCTGTGCCCAGGGAGTGAGGGCAGCACTTAGCCTGCAGAGCGGGATTTGTCCCAGAGCTGTGCCCAGGGGGTGAGGGCAGCACTTACCCTGCCGAGGCTGGCGCCCGGCTGGCAGTGGCTGAGCAGGGGCGCGCTGCCCAGGTGCCCGTGCTGCGGCTGCTCCTCGCGCAGGACGCTGATCCTGCGGGCGGTCAGGGCCGTGGGCCAGCAGCAGCTGCCCGGGGGCAGCTCCCCGGGCGCGCAGAGGGGCTCCTCGGGCTCGAAGCTGTGGCGCAGGAAGCGCCGCGAGTGCTCCTTGGCCGGGGGCTCCAGCTCCTGCCCGTCCTCGTAGACCTGCTTCAGCACGCGGCCGCTGTAGGCCGAGCAGATCTTGAACCTCACCTTGCGGGGCCGGCCCTCGTGCCGCTGGCCGGGCTTCTTCTGGGGCTCGTCCATCACTGGGACCGCAAGCTGCAGATCCTGGAGATCAGCCCCGAGAGCTCTGGGTCCAAAAGAAGACACTTCCAGCCTCCCCCGCCGCATGATGTATAATTCAAGGTTTCTAGTAGTTGCTCTCATCTTACAGCAAAACTGACACCGCTGGATTAAATATTGATAGAATTTCACAAAGAGAAAATATCACTGGTGGTGAAGTCAAGAGCAGGTTGGTGGGTGGGGGCCAGGCTGGACACCACAGCAGGAAAGGAGTTAACCTGGAAGGAGAGGATTAAATGGGAAACTCTACCCATGTTTCTGAAACCATGGAAATGCCTCTGCCACGTGCTGTGAGAAGAACTACCCCAAATACATCATCCCAGTAGCTTTTCATCATTTTCTGACAAGGTAAAAAGTTAAAAAAGACAAATTCAGAGAAAAAGCAATCCAGCCTCACAAATTGCAAATGTGAATAATTCCTCTCCCGTTCTCACACTGAAACCCTCAGAGCACAAAGCTCAGTTTCATTTTAATCGAATGTGTTCTTCTACAGGTTGTGAGATCTAATTAAGATATTCTCTCGTTAGTGCTCAATCCCTATTTGTAATTCTTGATGCCTTTTAGGGCCTTTTGGACCATTCTGGGTTTGGTTTTCATTTTTAGGAGACAGTCACTGATGCAGCCCCAGCTGAGGGACTTCCTCTCCCCAGCACTGCCAGACCTCCATCTGCAGGCAGCCATCCAAGCCAGACACCTCCCGGGACAGCCCATCCTCAGAGGTCCCCCAGAGGTCACCCAGAGCTGGGACCTCACTGGGCTGGTCTGTCACAGAGGGGTTGGTTCCTGTGCCCTCCCTGCCTGGGCACCTCGAGCTCCTCTGACCTTTCGAGGGCTAAAATAAAGAGCACATGTGGTACCGAACACATCTACAGGTAACTGCTCTCCCAACACCTACTTGAATCATGTAGGTCCCCAACAGAAGTTAAAATCTCTCTCTCTTTGAGTTCCAAGATTTTAGTACAGATCCACATCAAGGGGGACTCTGCCTTGGCAGGATGTAGGCAGAGGGCTTCATTTAGCTTCTTTCAGCCCAAACCCAGCACTGTTAAAGCTCAAGGCTCTCAATAGGTTAATTCTTTGTGTCTTTTGAAAGTTTGTTCCTGAGGTCCCAGATTGACACCTTAGAGGCTGCCTGCTGATAACTCCACTGCACAGCCCTTCCACCACCAAAGAGCCACCACGAGCAGTTTCTGTCACGACAGACGCCGCCCTGAGGGTCCCTTGGGCTGTGGCAGCCCCATCACGAGGAGATGTAGAAAATGTTTCCTGCACCAGGCGAGCAGGCCTGAACAGGCCCGGGCAAGCGCCCAGCACGGAGCCGCCCTTGGCATCCCGCGGCAGCACTGCTGCCAGGCTCCTTCTGCTGCACGGCAGAGCCTCACCTGTGTGAGAATGGGATTTGCACGGGCCATGCTCGGCTCTTGCTGCATTCCCTGGGAAGCCAGATCCAGCCCTTGCCCCATGAACCCTACTGAATCCGGCTCAGATTGCTGCTTTTCAGAGGGTCCCCAGGGCCAGAACCTGACACAAATCGCACTGTGAGCCACCTCAGCTGGAGTTCACTTTCTTTTGACCGAGGGAACAACCAGACAGGGAAGGCAGCTCAAAGCAGCAGTGCAGCACAGAGCAGGAGCAGCGCTGCGAGCCGAGCAGCGCCGCTGCACAGCTGCTCACAGGTGTGCCACAGCTCAGAGCCACGCCGTGCTGCTGGCACAGCCCGTGCCCGGCCTCCTGCCACCCAGAGCCCTGCAGGACAGCTCCCGGGTCACCCCCGGCCCCAGAGCCGCACGCCTCTTCATGTCTGTGCACTGACAGCTCCTGCACAGCTCCCCAAAGGGCCGGTCTGCACTGCTCAGCTGTTCTGAGCACCCCGAGTCAGTAAAATCCGAACGGGGACTGCCCGGTGCTGTTTGATGAGGCCATCCCCAGCGCCACCCGGGAGCGTGCGGGGCTGGCACGGGTGGGTGCGGGATGGAGGGGCCCCGGCACGGGTGGGTGCGGGATGGAGGGGCCCCGGCACGGGTGGGTGCGGGATGGAGGGGCCCTGGCACGGGTAGGGGTGGGTGCGGGATGGGGGAGCCCTAGCACGGGTACGTGCGGGATGGGGGAGCCCTGGCACGGGTGGGTGCGGGTGCAGGAGCCCTGGGTTGGGCGGGTGCGGGAGCGGGATGGGGGAGCCCTGGCACGGGTACGTGCGGGATGCAGGAGCCCCCGCCGCCCGCACAGCTCCCGGGGCCAGCGGGGGTTTGTTTCCCACAGCCCGCACGAGCCTTACTAAAAATGCAACAAAAATAATTTAGCATTCAACAGTGAAATCATTAAGCTGCACGACCCAGATCATCACAGCACTATATTTGACTGCAGACTCCGCTCCGCTGCATTTTAATGGCATCTGTCTTCCGAGCGTGGGCCTGTGCCCCGCGGCAGGGAGCACGGGGCAGCCGGAGGCGCCGCACAGCAAAGAGCAGCCCTCGCCCCAGCAGCACAGCCGGGGCTCTGCGCAGCGGGCCCGAAGAACAGCCACGGGGAGCTGGACTTTGAAGCGTGTTTCCACCTGCAAGTTTGGCTGGGAAACGCTTTGATGTGCCGTGCTTGCTCAGAGCAAGCCCTGCTGCCCTCCTCGCCCTGCACGGAGCAGCAGGATGGGGCTCAGCTGCAGCAGTGCCCTGCTCGCATCACCACGGGCACACAGCATCCGAGATGTGTCCCAACGCCCCGTGTGACACAGAGCAAGGCCTGGCGGGGCATTCACAGCACAGCCACCACTCCCTCTGGCCTGGCAGCCTGCGCCTGGATTTCATCACTCCTTGTGCCAGGAGATACTGGCATCTGCAGAAGAGAACCGCAAAAAGTGCAAGTATTCTGCTACCTACTGCTCGGGAGTTTCCTATTCAGCAGCACTGAGACAGCCTCAGCTGGCACTTTTACAAACTGTCCACATGAGCCAAGACAGAGGTCTGCTTCCAGCTGTCTCCAACTGATATCTGCCAGCAGCTCAGAACATCTGTAATCTTTTATCTGACATTAAATAATACATTTTTTAAAATGAACAGTTTTTAAAGGGTGTAGAAGTTTAAAATACGAGCTGCCCCAGCCAGACCTGACAGGTCATGCAGTGCTCAGGGCTGGCTGTGCCACGTTCAGGGTTTGGTTTGGGATCCCCAGCGTGGGGGGCCCTCAGAGGTACCTAATGCAGGTCCCCCAAATCAGCCTGGTCAGTGTTCCTGCTCCTACAGAGATGTACTGGATCTGTTGAGTGTCATCTGCAGGAAACAGGCACAAAAGAGCAGCACACAGAGCTGCAGTGGGTGGCACTGCACAAGCAGCCCTGGCACTGATGGCCCTAACTACAGCACAACTATTTCCAAATCATGGAAATCATTGCAGGATTGGCCCAGGTGTCAGCTCGGATGTTCAGAGCAGGAGGCACTAGTTTGTCTCCAGGGGAAGCAGCCTGACCCACACCAAGCGTTTTTGGCATTCCTGGCCATCATCATCCTCTGCCAGGACTTACACAGACAGCTTGAAGCACCGGCCAGGTGGGTGGTTCCTGCTGTGAAACACAGGGGCAGGCACAGATCCTGTGAAAATCCGAGGAGCTGAAGCAGGAGTTCTCTTCCCTCCCAGTCAGAGCACAGCGTGGCTCCCACAGCCCAGGGACGGCTTGGCTGCTGCAGAGGGAGGTGGGTGGTACAGCCCGGCTCCCCCAGAGCTCTTCTTCCACTCTCTGAGCTCCTGCAGCATCAGCAGTGAGAGGCTGGTTGCTCACTGTCAGCCCTGGGTCAGCAGCCCCCACCGCCGGCGTTCCCAAACATCCCTCCCGTGCCCAAATTCCAAAGAGGAATTGTTCCAAAGAGGGCTGAAGGCTGGGGCTGGGGCCGGCAGTGCTGCAGGGAGCAGCAGCCCCGAGCCCACAGCAGCACGGGCTGAGCCTCTGATGCAGACACCTCACAGCTCCTCGGGAGTCCTGAGCCTAATTAAGCTGAGGGTGATGTCATGCTGCATCACCTGCCCCCATGAGGGGCTGACAGGGCTCGCTTTTGTGCTCAGCCTGCTGTTCCCACAAAAACGCCAAAGTCACGGGTTATTTAAAACTCCGGATGCTTTAACACTGCACCGAGCTGGACTCACAAGCACGAGGGTGCACAGAGCCACACGCACACACCTTCACACTCGCCGTGAGCCCACGGGACTCCGTTTTCCAGCAATCCAAGCTCAGGTTTCCCGGAGCCGGCAGAAGGCAGGGCCCGCTGCACATTCCTGGAGGCTGAAGTCAGCGGGAGGGGAGGACGCCCAGCACCTCCGGGAGAGCAGGCAGGCTCCGTGATGAAAGCCAGCTTGCTCTGCACCTGCCTCAGTAAGCACAAAAATCCTGAAGTCACAAAGAAACAAAGGAGAAAACAGGAAAAGGCGCTTCAAAGAGGGAAATTCCCAGGTGCTGAGTTGTATCTGTGGGCACAGCTCTGCCTGGGCTTCTCCTGAGAGCAGCAGCACAGCCTGGGACCAGAGCCCAGGAAAACACATGTGCAGTAGGCAAGGAACAGCCAGGGCACAGGGAAACGGTGCTTTGCTGGATAAACCCACCTGGTGATGGAGGTGAGCCCCCGAGAGCCTGCTCTGCCCTGCAGACATGGACACTGCTCTGCCAGCCCAGGGCAGCTCCAGCACCAGGGCTCCAGCCCTGTGTGTGCTCAGCAGGCTCAGGAGCAGCCTGGTCTGCTCCCCAGACCTCCTCCCACAGGCAGCTCTGCTCTCTGAGTGGGAGAACCCAATTCAAACTGAGCCCCAGAGCTCACAAGCCCCGGGGCAAGCAGCTGAACCAGCCCCTCCTGCACCCGGTAGAGCAGCAGCACACCTGCAGTGCTGGGGTCAATGCTCACCTCTCCAAGCTGCCCCTCTTGCCCTGCACCATCCCCTCCCGGAGCTGGGGGTGCAGAGCACAGGATTTATAGCCTGCTCCTGCCTGCAGCACTCGCTGGGGGCCACGAGCACCTGGGAGCACCGAGGGTGATGCAAGCAGCATCAAGGGCTGTTTCCATGTGTTTAATCAGGTAACTGCAGCCTGCTGTTTCTGCTGTCAAACCTACATGGCCCCCTCTGGGGCCTGTGTTCAGGTCCATGCTACTTGGAAACCCTGAATTCTTGTCTTGGGGGATTAAAGCGGCACCCCTGCGGGTCCAGCAGTGATGGGACAGATCCCAGAGAAGCAGAGTGCTGTGCTGGTGTCCGTGGTTCTGCTCTGCACTGCAGGGAAGAGGACAGTGTAGCGGAAAGCCCAGAGCTGGTGGGGGGCACTGGGCACTGCCTGCTGGGGGCTCACAGGCAGCTTCAGCTCCCAGCAGAGCGGGGGGCTGCCCACTGCCCCCCTCTCCCTGGGGAAGCTCCAGCCCTGGGCCATGCCAGAGGTATCAGAGCTGGTTTTGTGTCTGTCCCACAGGCTCACAGGCCCGGTGTCAGCTCTAATCACATTCCTGCTAGGTGCAGGGACCAGGCAGCAGGAGGAGGAAGAGGAGGAGGAGCAGAAGGAGGTGGCCTGGGCGACCTCCCCAGTCACAGGAAGGACACGTCCATCCTCTCGCTGCTGCTCAGCCTGGTTCCACCGCCAACTACTCCTAATGACACTTCAACAAACACACAACAATCTGTCTTCATGAAAATCAGTGAATAAATTTAATTTAAAAATACTTTTCTATTTCTGGACAGGCACCACTCTGCTCCAGCTACTTCAGAATCAGCTGAAGCCTGCACAGTGCCCAACAGCCAGACTGCTCAAGGCTGTAATGGCAAAACAGAGCATTCAGCCCTCTGTGAGCTTAACGAACAGCTCCCCTAAGCCCTCCTCTTTAGAAAGTGTACATGGGGTCTCAGTGTTTGCCTTCTGTCCTCCAGCTGATGTGTATGCACCTCGTGAAGGGGAAAAAAGGAGAAGAAAGCCTGAACCATGCAGGGTTTGTCCCCGTGGGGCCCTGGGGCTGCGGGGCTGGGGCAGGGCAGGGGTGGCCACTGGCTGCTCTGCTGCCCAGCACAGGACGCCAGGCATTGGTTTGAGAGGTGGAGAATTGCAGAGAGGCTTTCTCTGCTGGCTGCAGGTCCCCACAGTCTGCACATCCCTGCAGAGTCACGCTGGCCTAATTACATCTTCAGGCAAACACAACTTATTTACTGAGTGTGCTGGGTCCTGCCGCCCCGCCGCGCGTTCCGAGCCCACGGCCGGCACACACTGCCCACAGGGCCGGCCATCCGTGCCAGGAGGGCACTCCCAGCCCGCCCTGGGGGTCTGGAGACACAGGCAGGCCCTGCCACTCGCCCCTTCCAGCACAGCGCTGGGCGCCGAGTTTGTGGGTGGGTGGGAGGGCGAGCTGCCAGCTCAGATCTATAATCTGTAGCAGCTTGGAAGAGGCACCCCCTCTCCCTGCCCTCCAGGAGCTAAAAACAGCCTGAAAGGTCCCCCTTCCCCCGGGAAGGAGGCATGTGGCATCCACTTGCATGGTGCAGAGTGGCTGAGGTTTTTGTCAGCCCTGGGGGTGCTGCCGTGCCCTCCCGTGGCACACACAGCCCTGGCTGCAGCAGTGCTGCAGGGCCACTGAGCCCAGCCCCTGCAGCTCCTGTGCCATGAGGGACAAAGCTGTTCCATTGCTTTGGGATCCGCTGGAGCTGTTTTCTGAGTCAGTGTTGGAGCTGGGGGAAGCCACAAGAGGCACTCCTAGGGGAGCGTGTGTGCAACCACTTGGTGTGGCAGCACAGGGGGAACGTCACTCTCAACGTTGTCTCCCAGTTTCCAGCTCCATGATAGAGCTCTTTGAGTAACCCAGTCTTGTAACACATATTTCAGCAGTTCCATCCCCTCAGCACCAGGCATCCATCCCCTGGGAGCTGCAGAGGGCTCCCGTGGTCAGTGGGGCCGTGCCCAGAGCAGGCACCCTCTGCATCCAGCCCTGAGTGAATCACAGCATCGGCTCCAGACTGCTGAAATGCGAGGCAAGGACGAGCAGCTGTCCAGCTCTGCCTTTATTTTCTAACCCCAAGTAAGAGTCACGTTGGAAGAGAGGCAGTGACAGATAGTACAGTTCAATGGTCTGAGTGTGAAGTGGAAAACCAGCAAAGCCCCACGTCCTGATCCCAGACTGGACATTGATCTGCTGTGTGGCCTCGTCTCCTGGTTTTCTCATGTAAACTGGGGAGTGGGGGATGCTCAGTCTGAGGGCATTCCGGAGATGAATTAGCTTAAATATAAATGTTAGCATAGACAGATTCTGTATTGCATCAGAACCAGAGAATGCAGCCCGGATCGGAGCCTCTCTTGGCTGTCCGGGTCCCCTGGGTGATCAGGGTGATCAATACCCTGTGCCCCAGGCACACAGGAAGGGCCAGGGGCACTGCCAGGCTCAGGGGAGCTTGCCCAGGGCCTGTCCCTGGTGGCATTCCCAGGAGATGGAGAGCACAGGGGGCTTCCTGCAGCCACCCACATCCCTGAACATCCCCTGATCCCCTGGGCCCCCCGAGAGTGCTCAGCACTGCTGGGCTCCCCAGCCTGGCCCTCCTGAGTGCCTGCGAGGCACTCCAGCTGTGGCCAGCGGTGTCCCTTGGGAATTCAGTGGGAACTGTGCACTGCACTGTGCAGGTGCATCCCCCAGCAGAGCCTCGGTCCCCCCGTTGCTCTGAGAGTGGGAGCCTGGCCCTAGAGCCCAGGAAAGCCGAAGGATCACTCTCCAGACAGGCAGGAGGTGAGCAGGAGCCGGCATGCAGAGAACCATCCACTCCTGGTTTCCAGCACCTCCCCACTGCAGGGCACTTCACAGCTCTGTTTCCTTCCTAATCTAATCAGATGAAAATACAAACTGAGTGCTAATCACAGAGCACAAATAGGGAAGAATATGTAAAAAAGAAAAACAACCCTCACCACCTTTGTTTTCAGTAGAGTTTGTGTCAGGTGCTGTGTTTCAAACCTCTGGCAGAGGAGCTGATGCTGCTCGCAGCTTCACCCATTTCCAGTGTGCCCCCCAGCCCAGCACACAGCACCACGGGACAGGCTGCAGGGCAGCACCAAAGCAAAAGGAAACTTGAGGTGAGACAGAGTGGGTCACTGGCTCCTAAACATTCTAGTTTAGCTAAATGGCCACTACTTTACAGAAATACAGAAATATTTTGTTTTAATATAATCATGATCTTGGGTGGGGGGGAGAACTTTTGAAAAAACACATTAACCCTTTCCACACTGTACTTCTGAAGATTCCTGAGAGTAGGGCAGGGATGGCTGCAGCCTGACTGCATTATCTGAGACATCTTCGGATTTACAGTCTTGTTCTCTAACATTTGTAGCACTCTTACGTCGAAAACACAGGGCTGAACCACCGCAAGGTTTGTAAGGGAAATGGTCTTGGCCCTTAACTGCCCCTCCTGCTCTCCTTAGGCAATCCACAAGTATGTGCGAACGGGCAGACCCGAGACAGGAATTCAGCTGATGGAGGGAATGCAAATTACAGGTACCGGGGGGGTCCCTGGCCGAAGCCAGCGCCGCGCGGGGCAGGAAGGGGCCCCTCGGACCCTCTGGCTGTGCTGGGCTCCGGTCTCGATGGCTGGGCTGGCACCCGGAGCAGGGGCTGGCACCCGGCTGTGGCCCCCGTGCCCGGGCAGCAGCCCGGAGCTGGCAGCGCTGGGAGCTGCTGGGAGCTGCTGGGGCGCAGAGGGTCACCCGGCCCGGCTGGCGCTGTCCCGGTGCCCCTGTGCCCCGGTGCCAGGGCCGGGCCGAGCCGAGCATCCCCCCAAGGCGCGGCAGGAGCCGGGTCCGGCCGGTCCGGCACACGCTGCCCCGCAGCAGCCCCGTGCCAGCCGCGGTGCCCGGGCTGCCCGTGCCCTCGGCACAGCGGCGGGGCCGCGGCACGCCCGGGCTTGAGCCGAGCCGAGCCGAACAGGTCTGGCGGCTCCGGGCTGTGGGAGGAATAATCGCCGGGGGTTGACTCGGCGAGCTGAGGCGGCCAGACCGGGCGAGGATGGCACTGCGGAGCCAGCTACCCGCGGCGAGCGGCGGCGCTTGAAGGACTTTACAGAGCCGAGCCGGGCCGGGCCGGGCCGAGCCGAGCCGGGCCGCGCTCCCTGCGGCCGGGGGTGTGCGCGGCCAGCGGCGCTGCGGCCGGGGCGGCACCAGCCGGTCGGGGCTGATGCTTATCGGCACTCTCATCTCCTGGGCGGTGAATTGCCGTGCCGTGCCAGTCCTGCGCTGCAGCCCGCCCCGCTCCGCGCCCGGCCCGGCTCCGCTCTGCCCGGCCAGCCGCACCGGGGCTCGCAGCTCGGCCCGGAGCCGTCCCCTCGCTCCAGCTGAGTCAGGAGTGACTCATTGCGAGCCGGCTGCAATTGGGCGCAGCGGGTGCAGTCGGCTGCGAGCGCGGCTCGGGATGTAGGTGGCTGCGCTGCGCGCTCCAGAGCGCAGCTCTGCTCCCTGCTCCCTCCTCCTCGCCCTCCGTGAGGATTGCTGCTCTGCCAGGCTCTGCTTCTCGCAGGAGGGCATCTGGGGCGGCTCCGGTGGATGTGGGGTGTGGATGGCCCCGGGCCCGCTCCTGAAGGGGCTCTGCACTGAAGATGGATGACTTGGCTCTCCTTGACCTGTTGGAGTGTCCCGTGTGCTTCGAAAAGCTCGACGCCACAGCAAAGGTGCTGCCGTGCCAGCACACGTTCTGCAAGCCCTGCCTGCAGAGGATCCTGAAATCGCAGAAGGAGCTGCGGTGCCCCGAGTGCAGGACCCTCGTCCTGGGCAGCATCGAGCAGCTGCCCTCCAACCTGCTCCTCATTCGCCTCCTGGATGGAGTCAGGTGTGGACAGAACGTCACCAGGTTCGGCTCGGTGCAGAGGTCGGGGGTCCTGTCCTCCCCCGCCTCCATCAGGAGGGTCCCCAGGGGGCTGCAGCTGCAGCAGCACCGGCTGGCAACCAATCCCCGGATCCACACGGAGGGGGTAAGGAGGCTCTCAGTTCTTTCTTCTGCCCATGAGCTCAGAAAGGTTCCTGCTGTGTGCCCAGAGCCAGGAACCTCCTCTGTTAGCAGCACTGCAGAGTGTTTGAAGTGGGACTGGGTGTTTTGTGTGCAAATTTGGCTGCTGGTTCAGTGTGATATTTGACTGTTTCAAGCTCGCTACAGCAGAAACTGACTCCCAGGCTGAGACAAAGCCAGCCTGCCCTTCTTACAAAAACTTCCCAGCAGCTCTTTTCTCCGAGTTTTCAGATGCTTCCTGGCTTTTGAGGGCATTTCAGGTGCTTGGACTTTCAGGCAGTACAGTGCTTTTGACTGATAGCAATTAAGTCAGTAATTGCAGAGCTGTAACTGTTAGTGGTGGGGAAGGTATTTCCATAGCTGCACCTCAGTTTCCCCGCACTGGAAAAGAAGGGGGGTGCCCAATGCAGCTGCTGTTGTTCTGTCCAAAGTTCTTGGAAGTTCACTCGTTAAGGATATTAAATTTGACTCACTTATGACTGTGCCTAGGGATGATGTACTAGGCTAATTTAAAAATTCTAAGTTAGTTCCATCATTTTCTTTAACAATACAAAAGCTTTTCTTGAGTAATGAGAACAGGATATTAGATCTGTTAAAAGAGCTTGGCTTAGGTGGAATTTAGGGTAGAGACTTGTGGCTTCACCTTTACCACATTATATTCCTGGATTTCCATTTCTCTCACCTGAACTGCTCCGTGCAATGCCTCTAAAGCCTTTCAATGACACTGGAAAGCTTGGCTGAAAGGGCTGTGGAGCCCCAGAGCCTGCTCAGAGCTGCACAGGTTGGACAGGCATGGCCCAGGTGCTGTGTCCTGTGGGTGTGAGCTGGCACGGGCATCCCAGGGCATCTCTGTGCTGCTGATGAGGGCTCGGGATGGGTCACACACCAGCACCAGGCATCCCTCGGGAGCTCCTCTCGCTGGTGTTCCCCCGTGCCAGCCTGAGCCCGAGGCACCGTGTCCCCTTCCTGAGCCCTGCCTGGCACAGCACAGAGGGGCACAGGGACAGGACAGGGACAGGGTGGGTGACACTGCCAGCCCAGAACCCTGCCTGGCACAGCACAGAGGGGCACAGGGACAGGGTGGGTGACAGTGCCAGCCCAGAGCCCTGCCTGGCACAGCACGGCCAGGGACAGGGTGGGTGACACTGCCAGCCCAGAGCCCTGCCTGGCACAGCACGGCCAGGGACAGGGTGGGTGACACTGCCAGCCCAGAGCACTCTGCTGCCTGCAGCACAGAGGGCCACGGGGCAGGGCAGGGTGCAGCAGGTCCTTGGGCTGGTGTGAGAGCCCTGCTGGGGTGAGAGCCGTGCTGGGACCCCCCAGCCCCGGGGAGCTGCAGGAGCTGCTGGGGGACAAACCATGGTGCAAGGGACAAACCGTCCAGCAGTGACAGCTTTCAGGCACTGCCACCCCAGGCAGCATTCCAGCTGACAAGGAGAAGGTTGTAGCTTTTCCAACTGGACTCTCCTGGCCCTGGATAAAAGAGCACAAGTACACTCGTCTGGCTTTCTTCTCTCTCACTCATTTCATGTTTCTTTAACTGGTTCTCAGGACAGGTAGGAACTTGATGCTGGTGTATAATGGCAACATCCATGCATCAATAGCTCCCAAAAGCTTTTAGGACCAACTTAAGACCAAACTCCTGGAAATCAGCAGAGCCAGTGAGCACTGAGGGAGCTGTGGCTGGCTCCCTGGCACTGGGACAGCCCTCTGAGCTCCTGTGCCTCTCTGGGAAGGGATATAAAACACATTACGCTGAAATACTCTTAGACTTAATTAGTTACTTAATTATAAAACACTTTGGAATCCTCTGCTGCAAGGTGAAGAATGCAATGTATTAGTCACACTTTGGTTTTAGTGGTTTTAAATACCTGCATTCAGGACCAGACGTTACTTTGGGTGCTCCAGTGGGGCGTTAATGGATTTGGAGCCTCCCCTGAGCTGGCACTGGTGACAGCAGCACGTCACCCAGCACAGCAGGGACACATTTGAACGTGCCCGTGCAGTGCAAGATGATGAGGGTGACTTGTCATCACCCTACCCCATGGGTGCTTGAGTTCCAGGGTCACCTGAAGGAATCTGGGTAAGCAGAGACCTCCAGATGCTTGTGAGCCTCAGAGCAGATTGTTTTTGTCAGTGAGAGCAGCTGCCCTGCAGTGCTGCTCACCCAGCACAGCTCTCCCCTGGCTGCTCACAGTTGCAGTGTCTGCTGCAGCCGAAGGTCAGGGCTCCCCAAAAACAGACTGCCCCAGCCTGCAGGGGCTGCTGACCACCCCGGTGCTCTCCACCGCCTTGTGCTACAAAGCCAACACGCTGCCGTGCCTCACACAGCCCTGCAGCCAGAGCCACCCCCAGCCAGGACAGGGGCCAGCCTTTGGCTTTACCCAGGCTGTTCTATGAATAAACTCTCTTCGCTCCCTGGAGCTGAGAACATCGCAAGTTTGATCAAAGTTTCTCTCTCAGCAGAGAGGTTTCCTTGCCAGCTCTTTGCTCTTCATGCTCATGAGCAACCATGGAGGCAGAAAACCAAATCAATCCCTCATCACCCAGCAAGCCAAGAGCTCGTCTCCTTTGGAGCAGGAGGGAGCAGCCCCCCCGGAGCTGCTGGGTTAGCACAAGCACAGCACGGCTTTGCGGTCAGGAATTTCCCAGAGCCAGTTGTTAAAAAACAGGGAATTTTCTAATTACAGCCCATCCCAAGCGATTTATTTGCTGGCATTTAAATCCCTTTTGAATCCACTTCCTACGAGCTAGCGTGGTGTGGGCACGTGCTGGCTCTGTGCACGTGGAGCCGTCCGTGTGTGCCACGGCCAGCCCGAGCCCGAGCCCCTGCTCTGCCCGCAGCTGCTCCAGCACCTCGGCCCGGCCTGCAGACCCTGAACGTCAGTGCAGGAGCACCTTGGAGTTTCAGAATCTCCACATAATAAACTGTCTGGAATCCGAGAATAAAGGGACTTCCTGGGAGGTGTGTGCGTGGATGAGCCACGCCGGAGCCTTTGAACTCCCGGGAGCCGCCCCTGGCATGTGCCAGGTGTGGTTCAGCTTGTGCTGGAGCTCCTCCTCAGCTGGCTGCAGCCCAGCGTGAGCTGGTGAGCCAGAGGCCGTGTGTGCTGAGCTGTGCAGGAACCTCCCTCACCCCTCAGGGGCAGGGTGACCCCCTGCCCATCCAAAGCCCATCCAGCACCCAGCAGCTGCCTGGCTGCTGAGCTTTGTCATGCAGCGAGCATGGGACAGTGAGCCAGAGGAAAAAAGTTCCCAGTGTGACAGCTTGCCTTAGGAAAACACGGACCACGCAGATTTAACTGTGACTTGGGCTATTTTCTCTTTGCATGAACTGAGTGCTCAACACCCCCTTCCAGCATTTCATGGGAGATAGACAGATAACACCTCTATTGGGATAAAAATACTCTGCACTCCAACGTCCCACCTTCACACGGACGTCTATAGATAGTGCCTGCGTCTTGGTATTTTCTTCTCCTCCAGAATCATCTCCAACTCCTTTCTGCCTTTGACAGACAGGGCTTGGATTGCTGGAGCTCCTTGGAGTCTTGTTCAAAGCAAGCTCCATGTTTGCACCTGGCAGAGTTTCCTGGCCTCCTCACTGAGCCAGCCCCTTCCCACCCTCCCAAAGCCCCAGCAGTTCCCGTGTGTCACAGCAGGGACCTCAAAGGTGTGTCCCACCCCTGGGGCTGGCCCAGAGCTCTGGGGATGTCCCCCACCCGTGGGTGCTGCCCAGGCCAGGGCTCTGCCCGGGGTGGTGCTGGCTCCTTTCCCCCAGAGCATCCTCGCAGCTGCAGGGTAGGTGGGGGTCACAGAGCCCCTCAGCAGGACACGGAGATGCTTCATTTGGCTACAGAATTACGAGTGGTCGTGCGGCCTTTCTGGAGGAAGGCTTTGTCCCCAGTCTCCTCCACTGCCCTGTCCCACCCGGGTTTGTCTCATTCCAGCAGAACAGGAGCTGCTCCCGCAGTGCTGCGGGCACCCTGTGCCAGGCATTGGTGTGTGCTCTCCCTCTGCACGCAGTTTTAGCACTTTTATCTGCTTCAAAGAGAGTGAGGTCAGCGTAGGCTGATGGGAGGCAGCCCCCGAAAGCTGTGTGGGCACAGGGCACCCCTGGTGCCACCTCTGCTGTGGAAACCCAAAGACCTCCACGGCCAGCAGCAGGAGCCAGTTTCCCTGGTTTTACAAAATTAGGCACCAAGCTGCAAACACATAAAAGTGTTTTAATTTGTTTCCAAGGCAATGAGTCAGGCTCAGATGGCGAGTCAGGAATAGCACAGCAGGGCTCCTGTGCGAGCAGTGCCGGGGTCAGCCAGGAGCCCCGGAGTCTGGGTGCCCCCTCTCACACCCTGCTGCTCTCTGGCTGCTGTCCTGGGGTCCCTGGGCTGCTCCCTGGCCCGGGTTTGTCGTTTTCCCTGTGGAGGGAAGGGTGGGGAGGAGGGGGTGCAGGGCTGGAGGCAGCAGCGTCCCAAGGGATGGCAGCTCTCCCTGCTGCCAGCTCTGCCCCAGCCTGTCTCACCAGTGCCAGGCCCGGTGCCCACTGGCAGAGGTGGCCACGTTGCCCAGGGCTGGCAGGGCTGGCTGAGGAGCCACGGCAGCGCTCCCTTTCCAGCACAGGGAGGGCTGGGGAGCAGCAGGAGCAGCAGGATGCAGGTTCCTCCCTGCACAGTAAACAGCCTCTTCTGAGAACCGTGCTGCTGAGGCAGAGCATCATGACTGGGCACGCCAGGGGCTGACACAGTTTGTTTTCGTGCAGCTTACCCATGACACACAGCCCAGCCCCTGCCCGGGCCTGCTGACGCAGCAGGGCTCATCTGATCCCAGCACCAGCCAGGAGCCTGAGAGCTCCGAGCACACTCTGCAGCCCAGCTGGCTGCGGGCCCCTCCACGTCCTCTCTGTGCTGCCCAGCCCTGAGCCAGCCCTGGGCACTCCTCCTGCTCACCCGAGCGTCCCCCTGGCTCGCA